ATGAAACAAACCTGTTTCTCCTGTGACTCCAAAGCTGCAGAAATAGCCTCTAATGTGTTTCATTTTTGTCACTTTCAGATCCTCTTTTAAGAATAGATGCAGACATACTTCCTTTATCTCTACCACCAACTTTCATGGACCTCCCACATTCTTTACGTTCAAATTTCTCAGATTTATCAGATGGAAAGGTAAAGAGCAGGAGAAGTTACCACTGATTTAAATGGTTTTCTGTGGATCATATTTATTGCATTTAGCTAAAGTCCTCTGCAGACAGTAAAATATATTATATTACTTAAGCATATAGACAGTAAAACATATTATATTAATTATATATTGATTAATTCAAAATGTACAGTAAGAATTAAAAAAACTCCCAGCAATATATTATCAGTATTATTGGCCATAGTTTTATAAAAATAATCCTATGCACAGTTAACAACTCTCTCTGTTAAATGTTTTGTTCAAATAAGATAAATGTTTCATTAGAGGTAGAAAGACTGTTTGATAGTGTTGTTACGGAAGAGGCAAAGTAAAGTATAACAGTTAAGATCTTTGAGTTTGGCACGTCCCAAATCAAAACCCTGGATGCCAGCTTTTTTCACCAGAAGCTGAGCAACAGTACAACACCCCTTCCAAAATCTTGAAGTTCAGCTAAATTATTCTTGTATTTGAGGCAGAGAATTCCACAAATATCTTGCATCTGAATCTGGTGTTAAAATGCAATTAATACGTTAAATAATTATCAGTTTACACACAAACTAAGCCAATTGCCCAGTCTAATCTTATGGAAAGCCATCCATACATTCAGGGTTGAATATATCTTAACTCATTCCAGCAAGTGGAATCCAAATATGCTGCATTCTGATGATACACAACTTTAGATCCATGAAAGAATGCATATTGGTACCTGGCAGCTGAAACAGAAAAAAGAACCAAGAGAATAATAGAGGAAAAATATAAATAAGAAGCTACTATATGAGTACTTAGTGACATTTCATGTCACATCTTCAAACTTCTTGTATCTAAGATTTTACAATAAATCCCCCCCCCCAAAAAAACCCCCAACCCTCAATAAGGTAGCAGCAAGGCTAAGCCTATACAAGTAGTCTTCAAGTTACAACCATTCATTCAGTGACCATTTGAAGTTACAGCAGCACTGAACAAATAGTAGTTAAGCCCAGTCCCTGAAGTTAATGACTGTTGCAGTACCCCCATGATCACGTGATCAAAATTTGGGTGCTTGGCAGCACGCCTGCACTTACAACAGGGGTGCTTCAACTCCCACCCGCCTATCTCCCCTCCATCTCTGCCCTTTTGGCCACCCTGTGCTTGCTGGCCCTGCCAGTCTTGCTGCCCTGATAAAACCCTTTTTAACTTTAATCACATGTAAAACCTTAATTGCTGGAGGAAATAAATACAGAGTTATTCAGAACACAAACAGATAGAAAAATTAATAGAAAATAGAGGCTTTGGGCAGAGTACAAGATGATGTTGGTCTGCTGTTAATTTAGAGGAATTTGTAGTGTAAAGTAATTCCAAGTGAAGTAAAACACACAATACTGAACTTGTACCCGGAAAATATATGCCAAAGACAAAACACTACATTTAAGACCACAAACGGTCAAAATAAAAATTAAGCTTCTGCGATGTTTCTTACTTACGTGGTTAAGATGACCTGATGCTGGAAGCTGAGATACTTTGCTTGCTTTCTTGAATTTTTTCCTGACTTCTGGTAAATTTTCCTTTTATCAGAGGCTTAGGAGCCACAGTACTCAGCTTCTTATTGATCTTCCTTCCCCCAGAAGATTGTCTGCAGTTTCCAAAAAAACAAAAGCTCTTATACCTGGAGAGAGAGGGGTTGAGGGGAATCTAATTAATTAATTAATTTGTTTAGTTAAATTATTAATATAGCTACCGATCTCACAACAGTGGCTCTGGGTGGCATATAGAGATTAAAACTACAACAATAAACCCCTGGTGCCCAGGATTACAACAACAACCAGCAAATCGAGAACACATCACCAACAGAACTTGCCTAACTTCTTGGCCCAAGTACCAGGGGGAACAGCCAGGTCTTCAAAGCCTTACAAAAGTCAAACAGGGTCAGGACCATCCAGATCTGCCTTTTATCACATGCTAAAGAAAGCATTACTTCTTCATGAAGATATAGATTCCAAATCTGCAAAGGTCTGAGCACAAGTATTGAGGAAGAGAGGGCCTGGAGCCCAGCAGTACTGAATGTTGATGTATGGAGGAACATTTGCCTTTGGGTGACCAGGAGTTTTTGTTAAGGTTTTTGGATCCTTTTGCTTTTGTTTTGTCAGCTGGGGTTATGGCACATAAGATGGGCAGCCATATAAGTCTTTTAAATAAATAAGTAAAATAAAAGACTTAACTCTTCATGGGCAGGTCCATGGCTGGTGAGTGTTAACTGGGACTCCTTTTGGCCTGAGGACATTATTTAAGTGGACTTGCTAGTGTGATTCCTGTGGGCTGGATCCATGTCCCTTTCCGGCTCTTGCTAAGTCTAGTTTTTTTTTAAAAAATGGTTTGTTGAACAAGCCATAGCAGCTGAGTTCACCCACAGTATTATGCCATAACAGTCCCAGAGCATAGTGTTATATGTGAACCAGGCCATTGAATTAGACCATTGGCCTATGTATTCCCCTGCTCAGGCTGTTAATAGTTCTGGTCTTCCCCAGCATATCAAGATTAGCTTTTCTCTTCGATTTAAGGGCCAAAAGAGAAACATGGGGCTTCCCTTATACATAGCATGTCCTCTTCATAAACTTGCCCACACTTTAAGCATTTGCTTAATGCTTAAGCATTTACTTCTGTCTTTCTCAAGAATGTTCCTGCAGAGATGTCAGAGAAATGCTCCTTGAACTGATTTGCAGGTTTGAAATGCATTTCATTGAATAGGAAATTGCTGTTAACTCACTTCCAAACACAAAATAAGAATCAGTCACTTCCTGTCATTGGGCTGGCTTTACGGTGAGAGGAATGAAGCAAAGCCTTGCTTGCTCTACTTCAAAACTTAGCTAAAGACTGACATCATTATTGTTATTTTGGGCACAGCTTCACTTAGAACTAACTAACTGAATTATAGGACCAACACACAGTATATTTAATATTACTGTAGTTAGGTATCATTTTTGTTTTTCAGTAGCTATCTTTATTCACTTATTTGTAAACACATTTTTTAAAAAGCTTTTGCTCAAACAAAGCTTATATCATTAATATAAGGTATAATGTAATGTAATACCTAAAATATGTTTTGGATTCATGGTAAAGTAAGCAACATTTACTACATCTAGAGATTGTGTTTCCCTACAATGCACTCATTTGGGTTTGACAGCCTGATGATTACCTAGGGCAGTGTTTTTCAACCCTAGCAACTTTAAGATGAGTGGACTTCAACTCCCAGAATTCCTCAGCCAGCCATGCTGGCTGGAGAAT